ACGCTGGCGTCACGTGGGTCACCCGCAGTGTAAGACGCTCAAAGCTCAAGACGTTCGGTAGACGTTCGATCGGTCGGTCGCGGCGTGGTCAGCTCGGAATGCATTTTCAAATTGAATTTTGCTACAAATATCCCACGGTGTCATGATGAAAATGCAATCCTAATTGTTCTAACTATTAGTCTAAATGCGGCATATTGCATTTTAAATTTAATTTCGCTACCTATATGCTTCCATATATGAGAGCCGATGATATTGAATGTAAATCGTTGTCAAACCTGGTACATTATGTTTTGGGACACCTTGTTTAAAGGTGCACAAGCATGTAAGAGATTTGAAGGGAAGATTTTCAGTGAATAACAACTTTAAATTTCATACAGAGCTATTGTATTGTCACTGTAATTAAGCTTTTTTCTCCTTTTTGATATATTGCGGATTCTGTAAACAACTACTTTTAGTAGAAACAGTCATAGAGCTACGAATGACATGATGATAAAATGAATAAATACATGATAAAAATAATATTCTGCTATATTGAATAAACTAAAGATCCTCTCATTAGTTGTGTGTAGACTAGTGTGTCTTTAGAAATGTGTTAAAGTGTGAGACCTTTTGAACCTATTTGATGGTCTGTGTGTCCACTGCTCATTCATTTCACCTGCTCATGTTTATCTGTGTTCTCTCTTCGGCATGAATCCATTTAGGCTGGTCAAAGAGGAGTGATGAATACAGCATCAGATGAAAACAGCTGCTGTGTTTGTATGGTGATTAATTATTCATATTTCCCCATGAGCTGATTCGCTACAATGTGCATCTCTGTGAATTGTTAAGAGATTTTAACCTGAGCTTTAGACTGGTTTATCTCTCAGGCATTTCAGTCTGCCACACCTGAGACTAGGACACGAATAATGGACTAGAGGAGGAGATTAAAAAGTGACACTGATATTGGCAGAGAAGGAGATTGTAAAGATTATAAACAGAACAGAGGAGAGGAAGTGCCATAAAGTGCTGGAGTCAGATGAGAAAGCCTAATTTCGAGACTGTCACAAAGAACAGCTACAAAAAAGAACAAAAAGTGATACATTGGACAGATGAAAAGACAGGATGAGGAAAGAAGGAGAGAGAGAAAACAGCTGATGTTGTTCCAGAGCCCTGCCCAGCTCTCAATGAGCACAAGTGCTCCATCAGTGAGGGTTTCCATGGCTACACAGGCTTTCCCCCGACCCCATCTGAGCAGATTCACAAGATTAGTCCTAAGAGAGCTTCAGTATCTGCTCTGCAGGCACTGCCACGTAGTGCAGTGTGTCTCAGCCTGTGTGTCTCTCAGTCCACCTATTTATGTTCCATCTCACTGTCCTTCTCTGTCTGGGTGTTCAGTTTGATTACATATTTAAAGGTTTTCACAAATTATCTAGATTTCTGGATTTTTAGATTTCTAGTTGTCTAGACTTGGACTGGTCCGTTTCAGTATTCTGCAGCCAAATGTATTTGTATAATTACAGCTTAATTGTATACAGTTCATGTACAATTTTCATGCATTGGTCTTCTCACACAATTAAATAATTGCTTCTCAAATTAATATTTCATGTCTTTTTTATGTATTTGAAAGTACACATACAGTGCCGTGAAAAGGTTTTTGCCCCCTTCCTGTTTTTTTAATTTTTTGCATATTTGTCACACTTAAAAGATTCAGATCATCAAACCAATTTTAATATTACGCAAAGATAATGCAAGTAAATACAAAATGCAGTTTTTAAATGATAATTTCATTTATTAAGGGAAAAAAGCTGTCCAAACCTACCTGGCCCTACGTGAAAAATTATTTGCCCCTCCTCTTAAATCATGAAAGAACTGTGATTAACCACATTATTTTAGAAAGCTGAGTTAAATTTCACTAGCCACACGCAGGCCTGATTACTGCCAGACCTGTTGAATCAAGAAATCACTTAAATAGAACCTGTCTGACAAAGTGAAGCATGCTTAAAGAGCAACACATCATGCCGCGATCTAAAGAAATTCAAGAACAGATGAGAAACAAAATAGTTGACATGTATCAGTCTGGAAAGGGTTATGAAGCCATTTCTAAGGCTTTGGGACTCCAGCGAACCACGGTCAGAGCCATTATCCACAAATGGAGAAAGCTTGGAACAGTGGTGAACCTTCCCAGGAGTGGCCGGCCTACCAAAATTACTCCAAGAGCGCAACGACGACTCATCCAGGAGGTCATAAAAGAACCCAGAACAACATCTAAAGAACTGCAGGCCTCACTTGCCTCAATTAAGGTCAGTGTTCATGATTCAACAATAAGAAAGAGACTGGGCAAAAACGGCATCCATGGGAGAGTTCCAAGGCAAAAGCCATTGCTGACCAAAAAGAACACAAAGGCTTGTCTCACATTTGCCAAAAAATATCTTGTTTATCCCCAAGACTTTTGGGCAAATATTCTGTGGACTGATGAGACAAAAGTTGAACTTTTTGGAAGGTGTGTGTCCCGTTACATCTGGCGTAAAACCAACACAGCATTTCATAAAAAGAACATCATACCAACAGTCAAACATGGTGGTGGTAGTGTGATGGTCTGGGGCTGCTTTGCAGCTTCAGGACCTGGATGACTTGCCATAATTGATGGAACCATGAATTCTGCTCTCTATCAGAAAATCCTGAAGGAGAATGTCCGGCCGTCAGTTTGTGACCTCAAGCTCAAGCGCACTTGGTTTATGCAGCAGGACAATGATCCAAAACACACCAGCAAGTCCACCTTTGAATGGCTCAAGAAAAACTAAATTAAGGTTTTGGAGTGGCCAAGTCAAAGTCCAGACTTAAATCCGATTGAGATGCTGTGGCATGACCTTAAACAGTCCATTCATGCTCAAAAACTCTCCAATGTGGCTGAATGAAAACAATTCTGTAAAGAAGAGTGGGCCAAAATTCCTGTGAAAGAGTCATTGCCATTTATCGCAAACGCTTGATTGCAGTTGTTGCTGCAAAGGGTGGCACAACCAGTTATTAGATTTAGGGGGCAATTACTCTTTCACGTAGTGCCAGGCAGGTTTGGACAGCTTTTTTCCCTTAATAAATGAAATCATAATTTCAAAACTGCAGTTTGTATTTACTCAGGTTATCTTTGTGTAATAATAAAATTTTTTGATGATCTGAATCTGACAAATATGCAAACAATTAAAAAAACAGGAAGGGGGCAAAAACTTTTTCACACCACTGTATATAAGAGTTATAATGTACAGACAGCCAGCCTTTATCACAAAATAAATCCATTTAGGAACCCTCCATTTCACGTTTGGGTCTCATGGATAGTTTTGCGGTAATGACCGGCTGACTGTACACTATCCCTTACTAATAATGCAGTATGCTTGTATATGTACACTACCATACACTAACAATTTCAACTACGAAGTCTGAACAGCATTGTAGATTCTGGAAGAGTACCTGAAAGTATATATTCCCACATTTTCACAAATATTTTTTACTATTTTGTAATCATGTCCCTATTTATTGTTTCTCATAAACACAAAAAGCCTTCCATGGACTGGCGTAAAATGCTCTTTCTTATTTATGGAAAATTATCCATTTATGTGCTATTGTCCATTTTGTCTGTGTGTAAATGTGTGTGTAGCTGCTGTTGAAGCCTGTGTGCTTCATGGTTTGAAGCGGAGAGCTGCCGGTTTCCTACGAAGCAACAAGATAGCTGCACTCTTCACCAAAGTGGGCAAAAGCTTCCCTCCAGCTGAGGAGCTGTGCAGAAAAGCCCAGGAGCTGGAACTGGTCTTTGAAAGCAAGTGAGAACAGACTCCTTTGATCTCCTCCAATACAACACTCAAAAATACAATATAGCAATAGAACACACTGTAGCAACAGACTTTAGTGTGTCTCATATATCTGCATCTCATAGCAGATATAAACAACCTAGCATATGTCCTCTGGCAAATATTATTTCTGGAAAGAGTAATATGCTCGGTAGTACCACAGTGGACAAAAGTTCATTTAAACACATAAGTATCTACATGGGAATTGATTTGGACAGTTTAAAGGGGTCATATGATGCGATTTCAAGTTTTCCTTTCTCTTTGGAGTGTTACAAGCTGTACGTGAATAGATAAGATCCCTAAAGTTGCAAAGACTAAAGTCTCAAACCCAAAGAGATATTCTTTTTAAAAGTTAAAGGTCCCCCTGAAATGCTTAGAAACATTCAGCGTTACTCTATGTGTTGACGTCATTTTAACTGAAACAGGAAGACAGGGCGGGATATATCAAGTAGCCCCGCCCCTTTTTAAAATAGCCAGTAGCATTCGTTTATATCACAGCTTGGGCTAGAGCCGTTCAGAGCCGTTGAGCTCGTTCTAACACGCCCCCACATGTCTACGTCACTATGTGGGAAGATTTGCATAATGCCGCCCAAATGTTCACGCAAAGAAAGAAGGCGTAACTTTGATTCACGCTGTAGTATTGTTGCTGCCGCCGCCATGTCGGCGTAAAAAGACAGTATAAGTCATTATAATCCGTAATTATGTCCCCACTGGATGCAACAAATGCCTCGTTTAATGGGTTTTATTGTTTATGTCTCGTCGCGCCGGGACACAGTATGGTAAGGGGTGTAACATTTCCGTCACATGCTTGAGGAATTCGGCCAATCACAACGCACTGGATAGCAGGCCAATCAGAGCACACCTCGCTTTTCAGAACGATGAGCTTTGTAAAAATCGACGCGTTTCAGAAAGGCGGGGCATAGAGGAGAAACAATAATGTACAGTATGTGGAAAATAATGTGTTTTTTGAACCTTAAACCGCATAAACACATTTCATTACACCAAATACACAAAATAATGTTATTTTTTAGCAACGTCATATGACCCCTTTAAAAATGTTTTGTTGAACTTTGTTCTTTGCTTCAGACGAAGTCAGTCTCTCTCATACAGCGAGAGCACCCGTAAGATGCCCAAAGTCCCAAAGTTCTCGCCTCAGGCTGTCCGACACTTGTGGATCCACACCGCACTCATTGAGAAAGTGCTGGACAAGATTGTGCTGTACCTGGTGGAAAACAGCAGGTGAGAGAGGTGGGATAGAGATATAAAGAACAAGCAAGCTTGACCCGTTGCTTTCAGGTACAATCAAACTTGCCAGCTTGCATTATGATAAATTGAAGTTACTTTTAATGTTGTTTCAGTAAGTTTTACGAGAAGGAGGCTATACTAATGGATCCTGTGGACGGCCCTATCCTCGCCTCTTTGTTAGGTAGACATGCTTTTTAAAAAAAATCATTCTCATTCTTAATGCCACAGGTCATCTGGTGACATATTGTCATTTACGCTGTTTTAAAACCTTGTGAAATCAGTGATAAGCTCAATAGAAAAAATAAAGCTGGTGGACAAGAGAAATATTGCATACTGAAAAGTTAAATATTTACTGAAAAAAATATATCTATATATTATGTTATTTTAGATTATCCACTAGTTAAGTTTAAAGGGTTGGTTCACCCAAAAATGAAAATTCTGTCATTAATTACTCAATCAAGAGAAGAAATTGTTTAATATTTTAGTTTTCTTTGCACACAAAAAGTATTCTTGTAGCTTCATAACATTACGGTTGAACAACTGATGTCACATGGACTATTTTTTCAATGTCCTTACTTCTTTTCTGGGCCATTAAACGTTTCAGTTGCATTGCTGTCTATGCAGGGTCACAAAGCTTTTGGATTTCACCAAAAATATCTTAATTTGTGTTCCAAAAATGAACAAAGGTCTTACGGGTTTGGAACGACATGTGGGCGAGTAATTAATGACAGAATTTTCATTTTTGGGTGAACTAAGACTAATATTTTACACAATATTTTTGTTCTACCTATTTTTATGCTTATATAGTACCAGACCATTAGCTTAGCAACATGATAACCTTGTAGAGCACTAATTGTGTGGCACAGAGTTGCTGCCTATGTGGAACATTTCAAATCATTCACTAATGAAGGGTCTTTGATGGCTAGGATGCTGCCTTAGAATGCAGCTGCCTATTTAGGGAGGCAGCACACTAGGTTTTGGTACGGAGCTATTTTCTCTTATTGTTACTTTTGTATTGCTGGCATTGTGCAGATAATCTGTTTTCCACTTTATTTCTTCTTTAGTGGGTCCCTGTGCGTTAGAGTACACTAAAATGAAGACGGCAGATCATTTTTGGACCGATCCTTCAGCTGACGAGTTGGTGCAAAGACATCGTATTCACAGTGGTCACTGCCGACAAGACTCGCCTACAAAAAGACCTGCTCTCTGCGTGAGTGACCTGTGATTGTATAAATGAGTTTAACAACATTTTTTTGTAGGTTGAAACACTTTATCTTATCCCAGTTATACTGTACAAGTAAATGTGCATTTCTCTTTGGTGCTGTGCAGAAATGACATACATCACCTTCAAAATTATTATGTGCAGGGTGATATATTGATCTTAGCATTCTGGGTTATGGCACCTTACACCAAGAATTCATAAACACTGCAATATTTAAAATTATGTGTTCCTAAAAAGGTCAAGAATGAGAGCTAATTTGATAAAAACATTAATATTTTCAGTCTGTTCACATTTGGCAAAATTAGAAAAATTGAAAGCTCTTGTGCATCTGAACGAGATGGAAGTGCCATTTCAAATTGAAAGTTCAGGTCATTTGAAATTCCCTTGGATGTTTTCAACCGTGCCTCAAGGAAATGTCAGGGGTCACAAGCAGTTTATAGTCAGTCAATTGCATGTCACATTGAAGTCATAATATATAGTGACAGCCAATTGGGCTTGTTTTTCAGTATTATGCACCAGTGCTTTCAACATCTTGTGTAATTTGGTTAGTTTTCAATGCATGACAGTTGAGCTTGTTTAGCACTGCACTGTCATCATAACATAAATAAAGCAAAGGCAAAATAAATGACATCTGAATATTTCAGAGCAAGAGCTTTTAGTTTGTGTATTTGATCTTGTTCAGTGAGGTTCTAGCCTTTGAAATCAGTGCAGTTCACTCCATCACAGACCTCTGAAGAGGGTGGTCCATAAGAGTCATGCTGCGTTCAGTGTATTTGAGTGTAGTTGCTGTATCTGAGGAGAGTATGAACCTCCACTCAAGAGATATGTTTCACATCATTACCCAGCTCCATTACCAAACGCAGCCGTCAGATTCCTGACTGATCACCCTCTCTGGCCATTGCCAACACCCACACAACAGCAGGACACACAGCGCTTGTTTTTCGTCTCTGATAGATCTGACTGCACTGCACTCCGGGCTTGTTTTCTGATGTATTTATATTACAAATATCTGCTAGTGATCTGTAAAAGCCCAGTTTTTGGTGCTGAGTGCCTTTTTGATATATGAAAGAGGAGACGTAAGTATACATCTAATGACTCACCTGCGGCCACACATTTATCCACCTTGGACTGATAGATGTAGAGGCATATTATTAGGAAAACAAGATGAATATCTCCTATAACACTTTGTTTGCTAGTGTTTATCACGTTTATTGTGTATATTGTCTGGTGAGATTAGTCTTTGATGTAATGTTTAGGTAGAAACATATTACGTTAGTGATTGCCCACAGCTCTTAATAATGTGTGCATGTGTGGGTCCAGATTCAGAAAAGACACTCCAGTAGTAGTATGGATGAAAGGCCATCTCCCTCCCCCTCCGCCAGAGACTACGTGGAGTCTCTTCATCAGAATTCCAGAGCGACCCTCCTGTTCGGCAAGAACAACGTACTGGTGCAGCCGGTAAATAATGCATTAAACAGCTGTCAATTATGACAGATCATTAGAGGATTATTTCTGACTGCATATTTTATCTAAAGATTAAATTACTTGGTTTTATTGCAATTAAATAGAGAAGCTATTACAAAAAGTGCAAACAAAGACTAGTTGCTGAAAACATAGTATGAGCAGCATTTATTATTGATTATAGGTTTATAGTTGCTTCATAACGTGGGCTTCTGTTGTGGTGTTTTCAGAGGGATGATATGGAAGCAATCCCAGGGTACCTCTCTCTACACCAGACGGCTGACTGCATGACTCTGAAATGGACGCCAAATCAGCTAATGAACGGCTCCATGGGAGATCTCGAATATGAGAGGAGGTGGGACTCAGAATAAACAAAATAAGCCCTTTTTAAAAAGGAAATAACATTGATTTGTTCTTTTAATAAAATATAATGTATGAATTATCTCTTTGAATCGGAGTATCACAGGATATGATAAGATGTAATATATTACAGGTTTGCTCGTTCCACCATAATACAGGGATGCAAGCTTGTCACATTTCAGTGAAAATCGCCATACTAAATCTTCCTAAGTAATGAGAAACATTTCTAAATCTGTTGTCAACAAAAGAGAAGCTTTAAAACCTGCAGATTTCCGCCAAAATAAAAGCTCTATGGTTTAACATTTGAAAGCGAAGTAATGTATTTATTGATTTGTTTAATGTTTATAATATAATATTGTATAATGTTCAATGTTTATATTTTTAACTATATAGAGTGACATTTTCCCTATATCCTCCTTTATACCCCTAATGAGTTTTCATCCCAGAAAATAAGGAAAAGTATTCCTAACTTCATGATGAAACTGAAACAGTGCATGATTTTTTTCTTTGAATAATGTTCAATGAAAATAATTTTGAAACACTGAAATGTAAGTATTTATATTATTAAATAACTAACACTAATCTGTTTTCCTGCAGTGTTTACTGGGACTACGCCATGACAATCCGCCTGGAGGAGATTGTGTACCTGCACTGTCATCAGCAGGGTAGGTGACATTGTGCCAGGTTGAAAAACATCCAACTGGCAGCCAAACGACACACATCCTGCAGTTTCTTATTTGTCCATAATTCTGACAGATCAGTTTAAATAATTCATGCACATATAATATGACCGTAATGTAATAGTACGTAATTCTACAACATTCATAGACCCTACAGAGTTGCTGAAGGTTAAAAGCATATCTAACATTAATAGTCTCCACTTGGGTGTACTCAAATATTCAGCCAATATCCTCAGTTGTACTTGCCCTTTTCATATTCATCTAAGCACAAGATCAGTGGACCGATGAGAGAGAGCAGAATTAATCAGAACATAATTGCTTCTGGAGAGAGATGAGAATTTAAAGTGAGGCTTTACTCCGATTATGAAGCAATGTAATTCTGCTAATAATGGAAATGAATAATTCCTTATTGTACAGGCTGTGTCATGGCTTCAATATTAAGTACATCAGGATGATTCAGATATTAGATACTGTTAAAGGCAGAGTAAGCGATTTCAGGTAGCCAATGTTGATATTTGAAATCACCAAAACAAACACGCCCCTACCCCAAAAGGGTCTTGCCCCTATTTTGATAGCTCCGCCCCACATATACGTACGCAACCCAGGCAACGATTAGTTCTGTGAAACAAAGCAAAACCAATGTTACAACGTGTCTACGGACGTGAGCGGCGCAGCGCAGCGCAACAAATCCCCGACAGAAAACTGCTGCCCGGTTCTATTTATGACGTGCTGACACAAATTTCAAATGGTTTTCAACGGTCGTTTGATCGCGTCCAGTGTAGGCAGACTTTAGCTGTTGTAGACACGGTGTTACTCACCCATTGAGAAGAAACAAAGCAACCTCGGCGTCCGATCGCAGGCCTCCGCTCCTTGAGTTCTCTCCAGCGCTGGAAAGCTGATCCGATATTTACATGGGTCCTACTTCTTGCCTTATCGTTCCGCAGACGTTTTCCTCTTTTGTTTTTTTATCCGCCATCTCTATCTTTCTGTCGCTCAGCTCGGCTAATGTCCGTCCCATGCACTGAAAGCTCTCTCCTCCACATCACGAGTAGACACGCCCCTTATTGCTGATTGGCTACAAGTTTGTTTTGCTATTCGGCCCGAATCAGTTTTCTAAAGTGTTTTTGAAAAATCACATACCCTGCCTTTAAGAGAGGAATTGTTTTGCATGGTAAAGAGGATTTCACTATGTGCAAAACATCACGTATTTAACCTAGTAATATGTGAAAGCAAGAGACTGTGTCATTTAAATGTCAATGAACATATCACATTATTTAATATTAATTCCATTGTGTATGTATTTTTGTCTGCAGTGGACTGTGGGGGAACAGTGGTTCTGGTTAGTCAGGATGGGATTCAAAGGCCTCCGCTTCGTTTTCCCCGTGGTGGTCACCTCCTACAGTTCCTCTCCTGTCTGGAAAATGGTCTGCTGCCTCACGGCCAGTTAGACCCTCCGCTTTGGTCCCAGAGAGGAAAGGTTAGAAATTGATCTGTACAACATTTAATGTTACCATAGACCTTTCTCCAATATACACACTTGCTCTAATTTCAGAATATGTCAAATATGTACAGATTGACAATTGTTTGTTCTTCCATTAGGATTATAGCTTTTCAGCATTTGTGGAACAGTAACATTTTTAAATGCTGAGTGTAAAACAATGCCATTATTTGACCATCTTAAATTTGGTATTTTTATTAGTATCCTCTGTTTTAGTCTAAGACAACTTGGTTTTTTTTTCTTTTTTTTTAAAATCTTTTTACAATTACTTCATACATTACACTCAGTACAGTACACGTGCAATAAGATTTAGGTTTTTTTTCATTAAATAAATCAATGCTTTTATTTAGTGAGGATGCCTTAAATTAATCAAAAGTGACAGTAAAGACGTGTTTTAAAACATTTCTTTGACAATTAAATGCTGTTCTTTTGAAGTTTTTATTCATCAAAGAATCCATAATGTATCATGGTTTCCACAAAAATATTAAGCTGCACACCAAATGATTTCAACATTCATAACAATAAGAAATGTTTCTTGAGCAGCAAGTCAGCAAATCAGCACTGAAGACTGGAGCAATGGCTGCTGAAAATTCAGCTTTGCCATCACAGGAATAAAAAAACATTTGAAAATAAATTAAAATAGAAAACATTCTTTAAGTTGTAATTATATTATACAGTTTTCATTGTATTTTTGAGCGAATAAATACAGCAGTGGTGAGCATAAGAGACTTATTTCACAAACAAACGCCATGCTTCGCTGTTTAAGCTACAGATTCAGGATGCTATGCAGATTTTTATTGTAAGATCAATTACAATCTCTCGCTGTGCTGTAATTTGTATGTCTTAATTGATCAATCCTTCAAATGCAATTCTTTGTGTGTTACAAATAAATTATGAATGGGGTAAATATTTTGCCATTAATTGTGCATAATTCTGTTCTACACTGCACATTGCTTGTCATCTGCAGTCATTGTATCTTGAACTGATGCTTCACTTTTCTTTTTCCAGGGTAAAATTTTTTATTTTTTATGATTTGACTGATTAGCATAGTAAAGGGGTGGGAAAATTTTAATGTAAATAAATTCAAGTACCATTTGTACCATTTTGTGCTTGGAAGTCAGTTTACCTGTTTTGGAGTCAGTGTATACTTGCTCTTTTGCAGACCTATGAGGAGAAGGAGTTACTGAGGCTAGTTTATTTCGGTGGAGTTGAGCCTTCTTTACGAAAGGAAGTCTGGCCTTTCCTGCTGGGTCATTACCAATTTGGGATGTCTGAGGCTGAGAGAAAAGAGGTTAGTGTATTTTTTTTCGTTAAAATTGTCCTCCCAAACAGTTTTAAGGTGCAGTCACATTTACATTGCTAAGTGAAATTTTGCATGGGAAATCCCTATGCAGATTTTTTTTTTGCCAGTTTTTGCCAGCAAAATGAATGTGACCATGACTTTAGTCTTTATTCTCTTTAAGATTTACAGTGATTGCCCTGGAATTTGGCGTTTAATTATTTTTAGTCCGCTTCTTTCTATTGCAAGATTAATTAAATTTCAGATGGTTTGTGAATCAAAGCACTTGTTCCATTGCCATCAAGTAGCTTTCATTGTACGATAATCTCCTCTTTACGTGTTGCCATTTCTGAAACTCTGAACTCTGCAGGTGGATGAGCAGATGCGAGCGTGCTATGAGCAGACGATGAGTGAATGGCTGGGGTGTGAGGCCATTGTTAGGCAGAGAGAAAAAGAACAGCACGCTGTGGCGTTAGCCAAGTGTTCGTCTGGGGCGAGTATAGACAGCACCACACAAAGAATAATGCACCATGACTCCACCATCAGTAATGAGGTGAGCGCAAAAGACCTAAGACCAAAATATATTGTTTGCAGGCATTGAAGACTTTCAGTCCAGACTGAAATGTTTGCTTTTGATTTTATGCAATATTTACTTCAGGATGTGTTGTGTTTGTCATTCAGTCCTCGCAGAGCTGTAGTTCAGGCAGGCAAAGACATTCCAGGCTGCAGAGCGACTCCAGCAGTGGTACTCAAGTAAGCCTCACACTGATGTTGTGGCCAATACATGAATATTTGTTGTAATAGTTGCCATTGTTAAAACTTAACTGGTTTTATTTTGACTGATGTTCCTCACCCTCACACTCTTTCCTGGTAGTTCTTCACTTCTCAAAACCCCTTCCCCTGGAGTAGCTTGCTTCCCTTTGGTTTGTTTTTCCAGGTGTTTGAGTCTGTTGAAGAGGTCGACCAGATTGAGTCTGAGCCCAAGAGTGAAGACATCAAACATGTTTCCAAAATCTCAAATGGAACACTCCAAAATGGCACCAGTTCTCCAGACTCTGGTCACCCCTCTTCCAGAAACTTCTCCGTTACTTCTGGTCAGTCGGACTCCTTGAGCACAGAGGACAGTGGGATACATGACCCAAGCCTTAAAGCCCAACTACAGCTAGCAGTATCAAAGGAAAGGTTTGCAAGTTCATCTGGAGAGGAAGGAAAGGCGACTGAGGAAGGTGAGACCAAATCGGTTGAGAAACTAGGTGTGAGAGAATATAGTAAAATTGAGGTTAACAAAGTGTTGTCTTTGGATGCAGTTGTGACAAAATCAGAGAGAAGCAAGAAGGCCACAGAGAGCTCAGAGAAAAGGGCAGAGGTCGAGACAGGGGGGTTGAAAACAGCTCGAGATGCTTTTGAGGCTCCTGCAATAGCTCGCAGCCACATGACCAAAATGGAAGTGGGCGAACCTACAGAGAGAACTTTGACATCAAAAAATGAAGCACTGGCACAGCAAACTGATTCAGATATTCCCAAAGCAACAGAAGTCGTGGAATTGACTCCTCCAGAGCTGAAGATGATTGAGAATCGGGTAAATGTGGACATTGAAAGGTCCCAAATGGGAATTAAACATATTAGAGCAATCCAAGAGAAACCTTTGGTAACAAAAGATCATAAATTATCAGATGCACTTGAGCAGAAGGTTGTAGCTGACACACTGGTGTCTGTTTCAAAGGACGATGATACAGAGAAAGAAACGGCGAAAACCGATGAAGTAAGCCAAGTTAAATACTCCAAGACATGCATAGATGATGCCAACAATATTAGTGGCACACAAATAGCTTTAAGACTAGGTGATGAGAAAGAGAAGAAGACTATGAAGACCAGTGATTTACCCAATGAAGCTGGAACCGCAGTAAAGAGGAAAGCAGCATCAGTTCTCTCAAAAACCACTGGTACAGAGCAAATAGAAGAGAAGGTTGTTACAATGAGGACCACACATAAAGAAATGCAGAGGAACGCTCCAGTAGTTGAGGAGATGGTGGTTCCTTTGGTGCATGAAGCTTTTAGCACAAGAGAGATGGGTGAAGCCCAAGATGCAACCGAGTCAGACGAGTCTCCCTCTGCCATTGAAATGGAAGAGATTCCTACAGCTAAAGTGTCCATGGCTTGGGAAAGGAAGAGTTCACCCAAAAGCAAGGCTAGTGAGCAGGCATACAATCTCTCGCTGTGCTGTAATTTGTATGTCTTAATTGATCAATCCTTCAAATGCAATTCTTTGTGTGTTACAAATAAATTATGAATGGGGTAAATATTTTGCCATTAATTGTGCATAATTCTGTTCTACACTGCACATTGCTTGTCATCTGCAGTCATTGTATCTTGAACTGATGCTTCACTTTTCTTTTTCCAGGGTAAAATATTTCCTAAGCTAAAGAAGAGATGTCCACAGGGATCCTCAGACTCTGTCTCAGACAAAGAAGAGGAAGAAGCAACAGATTATGTCTTCCGCATTGTTTTCCCAAACAGCCAGTCAGAATTTGGTAAGAGACTGAATCTTGGTATTAAACAAGCTCTTGAGCCAGTAAATGTTTCCGATTATGGTACGACTATTATTCAGCTTTTAGAAGTGGATAATAGGAAAAAGGGCCTCTTGTATCCATCAAGGTATTGTTTGTCATTTTGGTTTTTATCCATTTGTGCATCATCATCAAAAACATTCCTTTGGTTTTACTGAAATGTTTTGACTCATTACAGTTACTTTTACCCAGTCCTCCCATCTCTCCCTGGGTACTGTACTCCTGGCCCGATCTATCTCCCTGAACTCCAGGGGACTGTGGCCTCCTAAACGCCAGACCCTGGTGATGCCAAAGCACCACTGCAGCTGCCCGGGAGAGTCCCCATCCCCCTCTGAGCCCAGCTGTAATTCTCCATGCCACCTCTCATCTATGTGTTCATGTATCTGTCTGACGCACCAACTTCTTGCTGGTTTATGCTTGCTTTTATGGCCTCTAAATCTGCAAGTTTTCTGTTTTGTGCAGGAGTCGTCCTCCAGTGAAATTCAGTGACCCTTGGTTAATTGTGGGCTAATGGTTTAGTGTTTTCAGGGAGCCTTGAAATGTATGTTTACTATATAATGACCCATGTGTGTTTGTAACAGTAATAGAGGCTTTAAAATCTGACCTAAAATGTGATCCTGTTAATTTTGTGGGCCACAGCAACCATTATTACTTCATTAAATCCATGCAGACTGATATTATTGCAGTATTTTCTTGTTATTTTGTTTGTTTGTTCTAAGCTGGGTGTAATAGTGGGCTCTTGTTGCTCTGCTTGTGGCTAAATAAGTTCCTTTTTGTATCCAGATGGTCAATGCATAATCAGATTTCTCTGTGTGTGCTTGTCTGTTAGTGGCTCCAGAATTGATAGATCAGGGAGTTAACATGTGGCACCCAACACCAAGGAAATCATCTTGCTCTTCCTGCTCACGGAGTAGTTTCTCTGATGGAGCACCGCCCAATGGACGCAACCATGAAAGGTACGATGACAGAATGTAATATTGTATAGTCCAGAAGTTATAGAAGTAATTTTGATGGATTTAATTAGAATTGAAAAGAAACCTGCAAATAAACAAGAATAATGGTCTGAGGTACTCACAGTAGAATTTAAATTTAATTATTATTATTTATTTTTATTTTTATTTGACATTTAAATTCACTAAAAAATCACAGTTAGGTATTACTTCAACTATAAATCTAAATTACATAACTGTTAAATTTATATTTAAGGAAAAAACATGATCTCATCTGCAGGGCCCCTCTGAAGTTGCTGTGTGACAATATGAAGAACCAGATCATCTCCCGAGCTTTCTATGGATGTTTGTATTCATTACTCATACATTTATAGTCTCACAACACCATCTTTTTCCATCAAAGGTGACCTTCACATTCTTGAGTGTCTCCCTTATTCAATCAATCACACATATATTTTGCCCTCTCAGGGCTGGTGTACTGCCGTCACCTGTCCACGGTACGCACTCACCTGTCTGGCCTTGTCAATCACACTATTGTGGAACCAGATGTGCCCACTGACGCCTGTGGTGGCCTCACAACAGAAGTGTGGCAGAAGTTTCTTCAAGACTGCAGTGTACGTGCACACACACACACACACACACACACATATACATGAACCTGCCTGGAGTCCAAAGCAGACACGTTCAAATGAGTCTTCACCAGATACTCATTAATATTTATTTGTCCCTAATCACAGTTCTCTCATTCTCATCACATAAACAGTATGTTTGGATGACTAATGTTGAGAGCCTGAGTGCCAGAGTGGTGGCACTAAAGGATGAAAATCAATGTAAAATCCCTTATGGCTGTGATCGTTAGTGTTCTTATACTGGCAGACTAATTTATACTCTAAACAGCCAAACCAATATGTACATACATATACA